CGGGGGCTGTTGAGGAGCCGCACGCGCGGGGCCGCGCGCTGAAGGAGGCCGCGCCTTGCGCCGGGCCGTTAAAGGGCCAGTGCACCCGGTACGGAGCTCTGGAAGTGCCAGTGCACCTTGAGCAGGTTCTTAAGGGGTCAGCACGCCTTGTGCTGAGCTCTTCAAGGGCCCGAACACCTCTTGCTGAGCTCTTAAAGGGCCAGTGCACTTTGTGTTAAGCTCTTAAAGGGCCAGTGCACTTTGTGTTAAGCTCTTAAAGGGCCAGTGCACTTTGTGTTAAGCTCTTAAAGGGCCAGCGTGCCGCAGGCTCCCTGTGTTGGGCTGAGAGGGGCCGCGCCGGGGCGAAGCTGGGTGGGCAGGAGGAGCCTCCCCGCTGCGGCAGAGTGGAGGCAAGACCCCAGCTTTGGGGTGCAACCAGCCCGGGCTGCTGCCGTGATGGAGTCAGGTCCTTCCCCATCCCACCGTGTCGGCCCGGACTCGCCGGGATGCTCCTGTCCGCACCCAACGCTGCACCCGTTGACCCCGTTGCCGCAGTTGTGTAAAAGCAGGTCCTGCTGCCACGGCCCCGGTCGGAGCAGACGCGAGGAGACTCAAATGCCGTCCTCAAACGCCGTCCCGCCAGCAAGGCCCTGGTGTGAGGGGTGGCTGCGGTGTGCATGTTGGCGAAGGACTCTCACCCTCAGAAACTTCCCTCTGGGTCCTTAATTGGTTTGGGTTTTTTTACTTCTGATTGAAATTTCCGTTTGGAAATCAGTCAAAGGTCTGATTCACTTGGGAGTGAATCGCTGCTTGGGAACGTCGAGGTGGTAAACATGCAATTAATTAAACGCGGTAGTGGGAAGGTGGCTGTGAGAAAGCATTTCCCCGATACTGCTCTGCCGATGGTGTCAGTTTGTTTTTTAAATTAATGAGAGCATATATCATGCTGTCCCTGGCCTGTGGCTGCTGGCAGCCGTTCGGGCTGATGGACTGCAATGCCAGCTCAATGCATAATCTGTTTTCGAAAAGCAAATTGGAATATTAAAAATTAATTCCTCCCCTTGGCTTGCGCCTGCTCTCGGCATTTTAAATAATGGGGTGATTGACTCTGTGCTCAGCCTGGGGAGGACGTTCCATTCTGCTGACTGTTGCCACAGCATCGCTCCTACCTTGCTGGCGTCTGTCTGCGGGTGCAGCGTGGCACCTCCTCCTGACGGCTCCCAGCCTGTGGGGTGGTCACGGCTGCTGGGGGTTCTCCCTGGGGCCGTGGGCCACAGCGTTGCCTGCAAACCCTGACCCCAGCAGGGATCAGCCCGATTCTCTCTTGGACATCACATCTAGGGACAAACACGAGAAGCACGGGGAAAGCCTGCTGGAGGTTTCACGCCCAACCTGCTTGGAGATGATTTGTCTCACGGTGGGCGAGGGCTGCCCGGGGATGGTAGTGCTGTCCCTGTGTGGCCCCAGCTCTCTGCTGAGGCCTCCATTTTGTGGGTTGGTGAAATTCAGTTCAGCTGTGGCTATGTGATGGGTAACCCCAACCTACCTCTGCGCTCTGGGAAGCTCAGTGAGGGCAGGCATGAGTGTCGTCTTTGGAGGGCGACTCGGGAGCAGGTCTTCCAGGACTGGTTGGCTCAGGGTTGGATTTAAGGGTTTTGGGGCTGCCAGACAGGTTGCCGCTGAGTGAGGGTGGTCTCCCCCATGGCACTGAGGTAACCTGTTCCCTCCAGGGGCTGAGGCACGATGGCTCACAGCCAGTCTCGAAAGCGATCGCGAAGCAGGAGCAAAAGCAATTCTCGGAGCAGACAAGAGAGGAAGGAGAAGAAAAGGAGGAAAAGCAGCAAGGACTCACACCAGGGCAGCAGCTCTCCTCCAAGGAAGCGGACCTCTGGGTCTCACAAACACAAGTCGAGCTCAGCGGCAGCTAGGGAAGGTAGGGGAAAGGCCTGTGACCCTGCGCTTTCACCACATTTTCCTAGGGCAGGTGCACAGAGGGGGCCTGGGTGGGAGAAGGGGGTCCCTGCTTTTAGCTAAATCTGTGTCTGTTGCCTTGCTGTGTGCATTTTAGTTTTGTTCTGACAAGTGTGGAGCCCTAAAGCCCCTCCACGTGCTGGCCTGGCAGCACAGTGCTGCACGCTGTGATGTGTTAAAAGTGCCAGCACAGAGGGATCTTTGCCACGGCTTTGGGAACTTTGCTGTTCAGACAAGAAAGAAACCAGTCTGGGGAGCAGATGACCAGCATCCCTGCTGCTGCGGGGCCAGAGCTGCTCCACTCAAACTCTTCTTATGCATTGCAGAAAAGAAGAAGGAAGGAAAGGACAAAAAGAAGAGGAAGGCAAGTACCTCTTCCTCTGAGACAGCATCTTCATCCACCAGCTCCTCCTCGTCTTCCTCTTCCTCCAGCTCCAGTTCTGATGACTCCAGTGACAGTGACTCCAAAATGAAGAAGAGTCGACACGGCAAAAAAAAGCGAGCAAAACAGAAAGACAAAAAGAAGAAGAAGAAGAGATTAAAGAAGAAATCAAAAAAGAAGTCAAAGGAAAGGGCTAAGGAGGAGAAAGCCAAGGGAGAAGAGGTGCCCGGCCCCTCGTTGGAGCAGTGGCAGAAGGAGTCACTGGTGGACTCTGGACCAGGTAACGATGGTGT